ACACACACCTTGAGAGAAAACAAAACGATGGAAAGGTTAGCTGGAAAGAAACTGAATTATGAAGGCCCATGCCTGGAGCTACATATTAGCATGTGGAGATCTAGTGGCCAGCTTTATACTTCAGGGGCTGTCATCTGAGGGAGACACTTCTTCAGGAGAGTTTGTTTTGTTTAATGTTGTTTTATTACAAGCTCTGGCTATACAGTTTAAATTGGCCTTGCACTCAAAATCCTCCTGCCTGAGGTATCTCTCTCTCTCTCTCTCTCTCTCTCTCTCTCTCTCTCTCTCTCTCTCTTATTTTGATGTATATTTTACATACTACACAACTAAAATGTATACTTAAATGTTTTTTTAGTATATTCTCTGCTGTGTAGTAGTAGCGCAGTTTTTGAATATTTTATTACTCCTAAAGAAATGCCATAATCTCTCCCTCAGAAGTCACTTCCCATCCCCTCAAGCCAGTAACACCACCACCCCTCACCCCAAGGCATCTCTAGCTTCCTTTCTGTCTCTATGGAGCTGTTTGATCTGAATGTTTCATATCCATGAGCTCATATAGTCCATGCCATTTGTGTCTGGCCTTTTGCCTAAGATAAGTCTTCAAGAGTCAAGGAACACAAATCCTTTCAATGTTCTTGCTATCTAGGAGTGCCTGGCAGATTGTGTGCACTCTCTGACATTTTAAAGATTGTCTTCCCCAGCAGCACCCCCTTCCAGCATGCTCAGGAGCAGTGCCTGGGGGCTCTGATCTCTCAATCAGAGTTTGTTAGGCTCCATCATAACCCTCAGTGCTGTGGAGTGGCCCTTTGAGTTTGTCTCTTTCACAGCCAATAATGTTGAGCACCCCTTCTTGTGCTTATTGGCCACGTGCATGTCTCAGGTGAAATGTTTACTCAAATACTTTACAAAGATGGGCCATTTGTCTTGTTATAGTGGGTAGTAAGGGTTCTTTGTATATTTGAAACATAGTCCCTTTGTACTGGCTGGTTTTGTGTGTCAACTTGACACAAGCTAGAGACATCAGAGGAAGGAGCCTCTTTTGAGGAAATGCATTCATGAGATCCAGCTGTAGGGCATTTTCTTATTTAGTGATCAATTCAGGAGGGCCCAGCCTATGGTGAGTGGTGTCATCCCTGGGCTGGTGGTCCTGGTTTCTATAAGAAGGTGGGCTGAACAAGCCATAGGAAGTAAGTCAGTAAGCAGCTCCCCTCTATGTCTCTGCCTTCAGGATCCTGCCCTGTTTGAGTTCTATGCTGATTCCTTTAGTGATGAACAGCAATGCTGACGTGTAAGCCAAGAAAACCCTTTCCTCCCCAGCTTGCTCTTTGGTCATGGGGTTTTGTCACAGCCATACAAACCCTGACTAAGACACCCTTATTAGACACACTTTTTTCAGACACTTCCCTCTGTTCTGTAGGTTCTTTACTGGCGTTCTTGGTGGTATTCACTGGTGCACCGAAGACTCTAATTCTGATCTATCTTTTTCTCTTGTTGTTTATGCTTTGGGTGCCATCTATGAAGGCCTAGCTTGAGACAAGGTCACCAAGATTCACTCTAATATTTTATTCTAAGAGTTGCATAACTCTGACTCCTACATTTAGATCTGTTATTCATTTTGACTTCTTCTTATCTTTGGTATGAAAAAAGGGCTCTAAGAACCCTGAATCTGCAGTCATTGGTGTTTGATAGCAATGCCCAAGTAAAGAGTTCATAGTATGGATTGATTTAGTTTCGTTTCAAAGTCTGAGCTGCTTTTTTCAGGGTCTGTTTTCTTCTGTACCCTTTCTGTCTTTTATTAAGTTGTTTCTTTTGTTGGCTGTCTTCATTTTGTGTTTGGGCATTAGAGTTAATATTGTTTTCAGCAGCCCTGAAGTCATTGCAAGGATTGACTCCTGTGTAACTTATAAGCTGCTAGAAGATGTGTATTTCTCCCAAGACAGAAAAATCTGTGTTGCTTTGAGTTGTGTTTTGGGAGTGAGCAACTTATTTTATGTAGTGATTATTAAACAATATTAGGAAAAAACACTAACTTACTGCATTGCTATTTGCTCCCAATCCTGGTATTTTAATTACTATCAGAATCAATAATGCCATAAATCTGCCAAGGCAAACTTCTCAAGATATATGGTTGTCTTTATATCCATGACTAGCTCTGATTTGGATGATGATCTCAGGCCTGATAAAAGGTTTTAGCCTGGGTTGATCTCCAAAATCTGTTAAGAATTGGAGGTGGACTCAAATGTTCATGTTTATCCTTGTTCTGAGCTGAGCCTAGCTGTAAAAAGGTGAGCAGATTTGTCCTGGGTGGTGGGGGAGGAGCGCTTGGGTCAATCCTAGGCCAGAGCCTCTCGTGTGTGTGTGTGTGTGTGTGTGTGTGTGTGTGTGTGTGTGAGAGAGAGAGAGAGAGAGAGAGAGAGAGAGAGAGAGAGAGGAAGAAAGTGCTCTACCAGTGAGCTGCATCCTCAGCCCGCCACCTCTCTCTTGATTTCCTCTATAGGAAATGTTGTCAGATGACAGAGCAAGCAAGCTTGACTCAGTTACTTCACCAAACAGGTTGTTGACATTGTTCACCCCACCTGCACCCCAGCTGTTTTATCAATTGTCACTACCCTTCCCTGGTCCAGACCACATTAACTCTGACTGGGTTGTAATCTCCTTAAGTCTAGCATCACTTCTTCATCCCTTTCTTCTTTGCAGCCCTCAAGCCCAACAGAAAATGTGTAGGTATTGGTGGAAATAAATATTCGACCATATTTGCATGATTTGGCAGCTCAAGTTACAAAGTATAGTGGAATGATCCATAAACAAAGTCACTTTTCTCCAAGGGCATAGATGTGAAGGTGTGGTTCTGACTGGGTTGGTGCCCCTTTGGAAGGACATTTCTCTTAACACTAGGCACAAGGTTGTGAAATCTAAGGACAGTGTGACCCATGGCTGAATATTCACAGAGAAAAATCCAAACAGTCCCAGCTTCAGAATTCTAGGATCAAAACAGCCACAGCCTCAATGGTGAGGTTAAAACATGCCATGGAGTGCACACTTCCTGGGAAACAGGAAAGTGTTGAAATCTCTGAAATGGCAGTGTGCTCATCTATGCTAATGAGTTGACTCAAAGGTGATGCACTAGGCAGGGCCCAAGAAAGACCAAGGCATGATTCAAGGGTTTGTGTCATCAGTCATGCCCTTCAACTTCTGGGGAGGGCCAAGGTGCTCAGGGTTGAGTTCTTCTCCTGAAGCCAAATGGCTTAATCATGTTTACACTGTGAAGTTTCAATAAGAACAGAGGACAGGGTTCCAAGAGCTTCAGGTAGCTCAGCATGTGGAGGTTCCTGGAGAATGGTGGACCTGGAGAAAGCATAGACGCTCATTGCCCTTCCTACATGCATTGCCCTATGCATCTCTTCTTCTGCACCATTGATAATAAGCCTATGTAAGTCCCTGTTTCCTGAGTCTGGTGGGCCACTCTCACAAATTAAACATACTTAAAGGGGGTGTTGTGGCCCCCCAGATGTGTAGCCAGTTGTCAAAAGCACAACTTAAACAACCTGGAGTTTGAGGTTAACATCTGACCTGGGAGAGGGGACACTAGATTTGGGGTTGAACCCATAATAATTTCAGACTTGAGTTGGGTGAGAGGTTGCCCAGCAGGTGTACAGGGCTGCAAAGCTGCCACTCGCTGATGGAGAGGGATGCATGCACTCTGTGCTCATAGATGTCTCTGAGTTGGTTATTGGAACAGCAAAGGGAAGCAATAGAATCCAAGTTGCTTTTCAGGACTGTTTGCTGTTGATCAGTTTCATCTCCCACTCTTCCACCTTCCCCAGTTCACTCAATTTGCTGCCCAGTCATCTTTCCAGGACCTATCCTTGCTGGGCCCAGTGCCCATCCTTGCCTCCCATCACCTTGTAGGCTTTCCCCCCTCTTCTAGTTAGGTTACTTCCTTTTTTTCCCCTTTTGTTGAAAATAGACTCACACAATATATTCTTATTATGCCCCCATATTTCTCCCCACCTCCCTTCTCATCTGGATCCACTCCCTTTCTGTCTCTCATTAGAAGGAAAACAGGCTTCTAAGGGATAATAATATAAGAATAAGATAAAACAAAACTAACATTTGGAGTTGGACAGTGTTTATCCAAGTTACTTGTTTTAGTCAGGTTTACCTTACCTAAGGCTATTTGGTTCTCAAGATGAGAGTCTTGTCTATTAACTGCTGTGTACACAGCATCTAGTCCAGTGCTTCACAAATAATAGAGTCTCCATAAATATAATCATTAACTCGGAGCCATGCCCGAGGACAAGGATTTGTAATCCTAGCTATTAGGAAACTGAAGCAGGAGGATCGTAGGTTCAAGGCCTGTCTGGGCTACAAAATGAGAACAAGGCTAGTCTAGGCAACTTAGTAAGAACTTGCTTCAGTAGTAAAAAGGGGACTAAGGATGTATCTTACTGTAGAGTCCATGCTAACATGATTGAAGTTTGAGGATGAATATCACTATAGAACCCTTGCTAACGTGAGTGAACTTCTCAGTCCAATCCCTACTACCACCAAATAAAAATAAAAATAGAAAGATTACTGACATGACCTCATTTGAACTCCTGTCCCTTATCTCCAAGGAAATGTCTTAGAGTACTAGTGAAGTTTTATACACACATTGGAGCTCTCAGAGGGTTGACTTTTGATACTATAAAGTTGTAAAGCCTATTGAATAATTTTTATGTCATGAGTGATATAAAAGGAAAATAAATACCTGCAACATCCATGTGCATGCTTCCTGAAATATGAAGAAGAGTGTGTGAAAATTCCTTAGTCTAAGCACTTCTGGGACTCTGGATGAGTTTTTCTTGTTAAACTCAGTGGAGGACTATGTAAGCCAGGATACTCCCTTTGTTAATTTCAGATTCCTGCTTTAGGTGTTTTCAAGGACAGCACTCAACATTATCGCAGTTCTAAGTGCTGATTTGACAAGTCTAATGTGTTCCTTTCTTCATTTGTCTAGAATGTTCCAGACATTTAAAGAATGGTTCTGGTCGGAAAGAATCTGGCTTCCTCCAACAATAAAGTGGTCAGATCTCGAAGACCATGATGGGCTCATCTTTGTTAAAGCTTCCCATTTGTACATAACGATTCCATATGCCCTTCTCTTGATGATCGTCAGATACTTCTTTGAAAAGTAAGTGGTACTTATGTTTCTCCCCTCCCCCTGACCCCTTCTTTGCTGAATATATCATGGCCAAGTCTAAGATATAGTCCTTAATGAGTGCCTTGTTTGGAGGCTGCAGATTCGGATGGAACCTGTGCAATACAGTGTACACAAACATTATTTGCAAGCCGAAGAATTATAGGTGTGAATACCATTGGGTGCTTTAATTTACAGTAAAAATAAAACAAGATTAAGATAGGGTTAGTGAGGGTAGATGGCCATGATGAATGAATGCATGGTATAGGCATATATGGGAATGTAACAGTGAATTGCATTGCATTGTTTTGTACAATTAGCACTACTAATAGCAAATTTCTGGAGGGACAGTGCTAGAAAGATCTATTCCTTGAAGATGAGCTGTCATTTTACAAATGACTACCTGGAAAATACCGGAAGTGTCTCATTAAGGAGGAAACCAAATAATGTGTTCCTTCCTGCATCACATAGCTTAATTTGGAGTTGTATAGCTGTCCTTTCTTCCCAAGTATAAGGAAATTAGAACAACATTAATTTGCTTTCTGAGAAAATGGCAAGCTTTTTTTTCTGTACAAACAGTAGCTTCACTTGGTTAAAAATACACTGTCGCTATTGGGAAGAGACCCTGGCCTGTCACTAAACTGTATTGGAGTGCATTGGAAAACATCCTTCCCTTAAAAATACTTCTTTTTATTTGTGTACACATGTTTATGATACCCTTTCCCTCCCTTAAAAATGGTTATGTTTATTTATTTGTTCATGTTTACAACACATGTGTCTTGGTGCCTGCATTGGAGCTGGATTTATAGATACCTGTGACCTGCACTATGTAGGTGCTGGGAACTGAATTTGGGTTCTGTGGAAGAGCAGCAAGTACTCTTAACTACTGAGCCATCCATCTAGCTCCTGTCCTTCCCTTTAACAGTTGATCATACTTTTTACAGACATAGTTTGATTTTCCAAATAATGCATAAGGAAAATGAAAATTTCCCTTGAACATCCAAATGAACAAATGACACTTTACTTCCCGGAACTATTCACTAGTTTTGAATCATATTGATGACCATTGAGTTTGGCATCTAGGTCCTTTACTTATCCCCATTGCAGATATCCTGTTTTTCAGTGGGCAGCTGTTGTTTCCAGTCTGATCAGGGCAGTGACACAGAATATTCTTTTGGTTCCCAGAGCATCACAGCTGTGGAGGACCAAGTCTCCATGTCTATGTCTCACCTGGCTAATAACAGTGAGGAAGAAATCCCCTCTTTTAATTCCTGGGGCCATTCTTGCTTCCTCAAGGAACTAAGTGTAATCATTATCTTCTAGCTCCTTATTATGTTAACTCCCAACAACTCATCCTTAGTTACCTCTAGTCTGTAATATTACAGAAACATATTTCTTTCTGTGTGATAAAGAGAGTATTTAACATGGCAGAGAGAGACATACTTCATTAATTACGATAGAAGTTTATATTTTCCTTGGGATTCTACATCTTTTGTTATAAATTAAACTCCTTATACCCTAAAGAAAGTATTGACTATTCCTTAAATTTGATGATCACTTATAGTTTAGAGGTGTAAAAACCATAAGTAGTCCACAGGTGAGAAAACAGGAGGTTAATGACCTCAGGCTCTTGATGGTACTCAAACAAACATGCCTGACATCAGGTTTCAGGGTGTTAGCTTGAGTTTTTTTTTTTTTTTTTTCTGGTTTTCTGGTTATTTTTGAATCTTTCAGTACAATTATTCTGATAGTGGAAGAGAGTAAATAAATATATCCTGGCAATCAGAAGACAGTTTAGAAAGTTTACTGCAAATGTGAAAACTTTGGGATTGCCGTAACAGTTCTTATACATTTGATGATGTCAGACTATTAATTTATTTTGGTTAAGTGTAGTGATATTTTGTTTGTAATCTAACAAATAAAGCTTGCCTGACAGTCATAAGTCAGCCACTAGTTAGTCACACACCTAGTTAAGAGCTAAGCTACTAGTTAGTCATAGAAGGCAGGCTGTGGTGGTGACAACTTTAATCCCAGCACTTGGGAGACAGAGGCAGATGGATCTCTGTGAGTTCAAGGCCACCCTGGGCTATATGAGAGTGAATCAGTCTAAAATCAGTGAGAAACAGAACTCACACCTTTGATCCCAGCACTTGGGATGACATGCCTTTAATCCCAGGACTAGAGAGGAATATAAGACAGGAGCTCAGTGCAGTCTCAGGGCAGTCTGATGTTTGGTGGAGAGCAGCGCAGTCTGAGGATTCGTGGAGACAGGATCACCCATTTCAGTCTAAGGTAGAGGTTAGAGCTAGTGACTAGCTGTTTTGCTTTTCTGATCTTCATCTTAAACCCTAATATCTGTCTCTGGGTTTTTATTGTTTGTGCTAGAGTTAAGACTGGTAGTTTCTGGTTAGTTTGCCTTCTCCACATTCTTTAATGTGTTTGAAGTAGGGTAGGGTCTCAAAGAGATCTACTCAAAATTCAACACATGAGATGGACAGTTTCACACAGTATAGCGTGCAGCTCCGGAAGCCCAAGGCAAAGGCAGAGGTGGAAGATGTAACACGGGGTCACTTCTTTTACTCAGTTGTACACACAGGAGACGCCCCACTTCTCCCCTTTTCCACTATCCCGTAGAGTCCTGAGAAATCAATCTATATGCCAACTTTCAGGAGTTGAGAAAAGATGATCCACTGTAAACTCACTAGAGCAGATGGATGTAAATGGCCTCACATGAACTTCACCTTAGAGCGGAGAGTTTGATGATGGTATCTTCCTGTATTCATGTGACTCCAGAAAATTAGGCACTATGCACAAGACTAGGGGCATAAATGTATGACACTGTAAGACCTAATTCCTTCCCTCCCTCCTTTCCTCCCATTCTCCCTCCCCCTTCCTTTCTTCAAAAAAAATTAGCAGATTGTTTATGATCTGTCTGCTTTGCTCTCTGGTCATCTGGTGCAAAAGTTGCTTTCTTTTTATGTCTCTGAACTTCATGGGCTTTCTCCATAGGAACTTTTAGTCCATCTTGAAGTTGGAATACTTACTCTTTTTATCACATTATTTTATGAAACTTTTACTTAACTTCCATATTTAAAAAATGAAATCAAGGACTGATCTTCTGATCATTCATAACTAAATATCTAGATTTTAATTAAACACAGAAACTTTTCCAAGTACTAGAATGGGCAAAACCTGGCAGAAGTTGCAGTCTTTGTCAGAGCTACAGCAAGAAAATGGACATATACTTGTTAATTTCTTCTCCTCCTCCTCTCCTCTTTTTATTTCTTTGTTCGGGGTGTTTTTGAGACTGGGGCTCATGTAGCACAGGCTGGCCTTGAACTCCTTAGCTGAGGATGACCTTCAACTTATGACCCTCCTGCTTCTGCCTCCTAAGAGCTGATATTAGAGACATGCTAGGCAAGCACTCTACTAACTGAGCTACACTGAATTCATTACATGTATATGTGTGTGTGAGTATGCACCTTTGTATGTGTTTGGATGCATGTGTGTGTGTGCAAATATGTGCACTCACCTACCTGCTCACTGGGGATGGCATGTGGGCATGTCTGGGGGATTTTCTTGGTGGTTAATTGGGAAGGTGGTACTGGGCCATACAGGGAAGCTAGCTAGCTAAGCACCAGCCTGGGAGGGAGCCAGCAAGCAGCATGCCTCTTTCTTTGCTTCAAGATCCTGTTTGAGCTCCTGCTCTGATGTCTATCAATGATATAGACCTGTAAGCTAAAATAAACCCTTTCCTCCTCAGTTGCTTTTGATCATGGTATGTCTCAGCCTCTGTGCACTGGAATTAAAGGCAGGCACCATGCTCACTTGGCATTTACGTGGGTTCCGAGGATCTAAACTTAGGTCTTCACACTTGGCATGGCACGTGCTTTATCCAATGGGCCATTTTCTCACCCCCTCATTTGAATCTTTTTTTCTTCCATTAGTTACCCTTGGAGGGGGGGTCTCTTTGTTGTCCAGTTGAGTGTTGAACACATAGCTCCAGTGATTCACCCACTTAGCCTTCCAGGTAGTTGGGGACTTCAGCTTGGACCACATATCTAGATTTACACACTATCATTTTCAAAACTCAGCCTTCTTGAGGTTTTAATTTCATGCAGTTCATTAGAAGTTTGATGCAAGTAGTCACACTACCATCACCATGATTGTGATAGAAATGCCTATCAACCTGGACAGTGCAGGTTATCATATTCTACTTACTGTCCTTGGCAATCTCAGTTTGCTCTCTATAATCATAGCTTTATATTTTCTAGAATTATTTATAATTGGAATTATAGATGGTAAGTAACATTTTTGTGTGACTTCCTTTATTTAACAAACATTTGAGATTTTTTTCATGTATGATGCATATGCATCAGGTATCAAGGTTTCCCTATTGCTGACTAGTCTTTGAACATATTTATACATCATACAAATATTTATATTTGAATTAGTTGATAGGAATGTATGCTGTTTAGGGTGTTAGGTCACTGTGAATAAAAACCCTGAACATCTGAGTGTGGGAACATGGCTGAACATGTGCTTTCATTTCCCTTGGGAAAGGTCTAAGATGTTTGCTTTTAAATGACGCTGTGTGTGCTACACCATAGGCTGTCACTCAGCAAGAGAAAGGAGCAGACTTCCGGTCACATGCTATGACATAAATGAGCCTCAAAGCATTATGCTTGGTGAAAGCAGCCAGATCTGAATAATTGCATATTGTCCAGTTCCACTTAGTAAATATCCAGAAAAGGTTAAGATAGAAAGATGAAAAATAGGTTAATTGCTTGGCTAAGTTTGAGGAGAAATGGAAAGTCACTGAGTTATATATTTGAAAAAAAGAACTATTTTATATGTAGAAAAATCCATAATAATTATTTTAAAGATATAAATCAAACTAAAGGATAAGCAACAGACTGGGAGAAAATGTGCATAAACTATGTATCTTATGAAGAACTTAAATTCAGAATGTAAGATAAACTGTATGATTCACTAGTAAATAAGTGGATTTTTAAAATAGGCAAAAGATTTGAGTCAAAAATTCACAAATAAAAACTAAGCACATGCAAAGCTAATCAATATCATCAATCATTGGACTAAGGCAAACTAAAAACCACAGTGCAGAATGCTGGGGAGATAGGTCAGCGAGTACAGTGGTTCTGCTTTGGCATGAGGATGCGAGTTCACTCATAAAAATGTCACATGGCCTGGGATGGTGGCACATGCTTATAATCCCAGACGGGGAGGCAAAGACTGGCAGACTCCTGGGGCTTGCTGGCCAGCCAACCTGGCCTAATAAGTGAATCCCAGGCCAATAGGAGACCCTGTCTCAAAAAACAAGGTGGATGCTTCTCTAGGGTATTTTCCTGGGAGAATGGTTATCAGAAACAATTAAAGGTAATTGACTGCCTGGGGAAATAATAATTGCTTCAAAAATTAGAGGGAGCAAAAAACTCAAAATGAAAAGCAGAGAATTTAGACGTCTGGAAAGGTGGGGCCATGAAAAACTCTGACATGTTCTTAGAAATCTTGAAGGCCAATTTGACGTTTAAGAGTTTGTTTGGGTCCAGGCAAGACTCCAGAAGTCCCTAAGACCTCACCTCCAGATGACTCTGATGCACATTGTAAACAAGACAGTGATCACTAAGGCAGACTCGAGAGCTGCCTGGCTGCGAGTGGGTGCTGTCTCATACCACAGACACAGAACAGCAGCAGCCTGAGAGGCTTGTTGGCTCTAGGTGTTGAAGGAAGCCTTTGTCCAGTCATTAGCTGGGTAGTAACCAGACATACTGTAGACTTCAGCACCCACACACGACACAGTGACACAGGACAGGACATACGGCTTAGGGTTTTTAAGTGACTCAACACACAATTGGGCAAACAGAACAGAACAAACTGTGATAGGAGGTGACCTGAGTCACCACCTAACATGCAACAAAACCCGAGCAGACATGGAAAACTTGGGAAATTATGGCACATACACAGAAGACAGTGTCTTTAGGGAACCCCAGGTGTTTGACTTACTGGACAAAGAATTTAGAATTTGCTATTTGAAGCATTTTCAAAGAATTAGAGGCAACCATGCTGAAAAACAAAAGAAAAACAGGAGGGTAATATCTCACCAAACCAAGTTACAACAGTAATAAAATATAGAAATTACAAATCAAGACAAAGAACCAACCAGAGGTTGTAAAATTTAAAAAGGTATGACTGAAATGAAAAAATAAGACTGTAAAGGGTTTTGATAAGTTAAACTACTTATGGGTATTAAAAATCTACCAAATTACTATGGCTATATTTTCATTTGTAAAGCTTTTTAGACTCTTTGCTTATTTACATAAAATAATAATAATAATAAGTATGTGCTGTTAGAACATAACATATAAAGACTTGATTTGTACAATATAAAGGGGGAAAGAATGGACTTTTATATCCCATTGAAAGCAATTTGCTGTTAATTTGAATCAGGATGTTATAAATTAAGATGTGTACTATAATCCCAGAATAACCACTGAGAAAATAATTTTAAAAATAATAAAAGATGGGAGGATTTAAATGGAATACTAGAAAATATCTAACATGAAGGAGGATAGTAACAAATTAATGAAACAAAGACTTATACACACACATGAAAAACAAGTAGCCAAATGGCAAGTAGAAATCCTTTCTAATTAGTGATTGAATGTAAATGGATTAAATGCTGTAATTAAAAAGTATGGCTGGGAAGAAGTGACAGAAAAACGTGCTCTACCTATATGGGGCACACAAGAAACACTCTTCAGGTTCAGTAATGCTTGTACGTTGAAAGGAAAAGGACAGAAGTGATAACCACTAAGGCAGCAGCCGAGAGAGAGCTGGAGTGGCTACACTTCTCAGACAAACTGAACTACATCTACCCTAAGTGTTAGTATAAAGGATGCTTTTAGAAGATATAATAATTATCAACAAGGATGTGTATAGCAATAGAGTCCCAGTACATGAAACAGAACTGACATTTTAAAAGGAAGAAATAGGCAACTCAACAGTAAGAGTTTTTTGTTGTTTTTCGTTTTTCAGTGCTGAAGCCGGAACCCAGGGCCTCTTGCAGGCTAGCGGGTTCTCTACCTTATCCCTTCCCAATGGTTGAGGGCTTTCTATAAAGGCTAGAATAACTAGGCAGGAAGTTGGAAAGAAAAGAAAGCTAAACATAAACCATCAGACTTAGCAAGCATCTCTAGAACACTTCATCCAATAAGAGCAGGTCTGTGTTCTTCTCTTGTACACAGAGGATACTCCCTGTGTCATGCCGTGTGCCAGGCCCCAAACACAAATCTCAGCAAATGTGAGGGGGTGGCAACCATACACATGAAGGAAAGCTGGAAACTAGTAACAGAAAGAAACTGGAGATTAGAAAAAAATGAAAATGACATCAACACACTTCTTAATACAGTCAAAGAAGGTATCACAAGGTAAACTAGAAATATTTTTAACTCAATGAAAAAGAGCATACTATACTAGAACCTTCTGGAATGTGGAAGTAGCAGAGCTGGAAGGAGTTTTCAGCATCAAGCCCTTCTATTTAAAAATGAAGGAAACTGGACAGTGGTGGCACACGCCTTTAATCCCAGCACCTGGGAGGCAGAGGCAGGCGGGTCTCTGCGAGTTGGAGGCCAGCCTGGTCTACAGAGCTAGTTCCAAGGCAACCAGAACTGATACACAGAGAAATCCTGTCTCAAAAAACAAAGCAAACAAACAACAAAATAAAAATGAAGGAAACTCAGATTAATATTCTTCCACCTTAAGAAACCAGGAAAATAAGATGAAACTCAAGGTGGAGCAGAAGTTAGCAACATTAACAACCTGGTGGGAAGTGAGTAGTAGCAGCTACCCACCCAGTGTGACTTCTGTAGCTGACAAAGCCAAGCACCTGGGGGGTGGGGTCTTGAAGAAACTGGAAACGTGGACATGCAATTGCCAGAAATGTGAAATGTTACAGCTACTTTGGAAAGCAAATTTTCAGTTTCTTAGAAAGCAGTGAACACTTAATTTAACTCTTGATGGTCTTAAAATGCAATTGTAAATACAATAGTTCATCCTATTCTTGCACATAAATGTATTTGGATTCACAATGAAATGTTTTAAACTGTGTATTACATCATGCATTCTTAAAGTATTGCTTGTGCTGTGCATAGGTCTGAAAATTTGCTCTCATTGGACTTAGATTTGAGAGTTTTGTTGCTATCATTTTGTTTGTCTGTCTTTTGAGACTCTGTAGCTTAAGCTACACTGGAACTCACTGTGAAGCCCAGGCTGACCTCAGACTCACTATAATCTTTCTCCTTCACCCTCCCAAGGGCTGAGGTATAGTCATTAGCACCATGCCCAGCTTTGTCCTTGGAACTTTTGAAGAGCAGAAATTGGCTGTAAGTAGCTCCATTGACAATATGTTTTAGTCAAATTTCCATTGCTGTAACAAAATACCCCAAAGCAATTAATTTGTAAAGCAAATGTCGGTTCCAGTTTGAAGTCAAGTGACCTTAGCACTTTGGCTGTGGTCGGGTGCCATAGCTTAGCAGGAGCATGACATTGGGCAGACTGCTCATCTCCGGACATAGAAAGCAAATGGAGAGACTGAGGTCCTATGATCCCCTTGGAAGAGCAATGACCTCGGGACTTCCCACTAGGCCCACCTCTTGATGGTTTACCACACCTCCTAACAGTATCTAAAGCTTAGTGGACTAAGCTTTTCAATGTGGATCATTCATTGGGCACATTCAGTGTCCAAACTAGAACAGTGCAAGCAAATGCTTGAGCTTTTCCTGGACACCCAAATGTACAGCCTGGGTTTTCTGGTGCAGTCATGAACTTCTGACTTCTTAAACCTTCTTCTCATATTTTGTAGGTTTGTTGCCACACCTCTAGCAAATGCACTTGGCATTCAAAAGACAGTGCAAAAAATTAAGCCAAATGCCATCTTAGAGAATTTTTTCAAGCATTCCACAAGTCAACCATCACGTGTAAGTAAAAATTCTTTGCCTGTAAACATAAGGACCCGCTTTCTTAATGGGTTAATTACTTTGTCCATACAATAAAATAGCTTCCATTTGACCATCAAAGGATTTGATTCATTAGATGCATTTCTTTGCTCTACTGACAGATTGTATAACTCCTCAAATGTTAGAAAAATATAAATACGTATTATAAAGTCACTGACATTAATAGTTAAAGTATTGCTTTCAGCTGTAGTATCACACACACTAGCAGTGAACATGAGGATTTATATAAAGATAACAATTTAAGCTAGGTATTGTGGTCCTATCAAAATAATCATGAAGTGTCCAGGAAGTCACTTTTCACACTTGCCCTTGTTTTTTCCAAGGCTTGGACATACCCAGAAACATGCTGAAGTCCTGATTTCTTTCCAGAGATAGAATTTCTTCAAGAGTATCACAATTCTTTCACAATACAACATACTCTTGGGTGGTGCAGTTTATACATCACAGAACATTGTATGTCATAGTTGTAAAGTCATGTCTAGGCACCTCAGTTTTGTTATATCGAATAGTTAAAATGGCAGGCAAAACAAGGCTTCCTCCAAAGCAGCCCTCCTGTGGAATAAACAGACAACCACCACCTCTCTTTTTAAAATTCAAGACTGTGCTGCCAACATTTTAGGAGGAAGTTTTCAAGCCATTTAAACCACATTTGATGAACTGGGCTGTGCTTATCAGCTGCAAATATCATTGCTCTGGTGGAGTCTTTGCACAGGGAGGTGTGCTGAGTTTGCCACAGCATAAAGCCTAGTGTAGTGTGGCTGCATGTGACCACTTTTATCAACAGGGACAATATGAAAATCTGCAGCCACCTGTTTTCTGTCTCCATGTGCCCGAAGTGACCATGGTCATCCATCTAAATACTTTGGTATCCACTGGTTATGTGTGAACAATTGGGACTCTTTTGAGGGGTCCTTCTAATCCTGTTTGTGTTTGGGAGTAACTTCCATAATACCTTGCATGAATTGTGTATCTCCTGTCAGCTGTTATTTGCTGAGACCAAGACCTTCAAGCCATTGAAAAAGATGTGTGTGTGTGTGTGTGTGTGTGTGTGTGTGTGTGCACGCACGCGCGCACTTGTGCCATGGTGTGCATGTAGTGGTCAGAGGACAACTTTTGGAGTCAATTCTCTCCTCCCACCTTGAGCTGCAGGGATTGAGTTCAGGCCATCATATTCAACCTGGCAAGCTGTTTTACCTGCCAAGTCATCTTGATGCCTCTGAAGACTAGGATATTTAAAATAATTGAGAAATCTTACTTGCTATGGAAAGAAAATGGCCATGTGACAGTTAAAAGAAAACTGGAAGAGAACTAGACTAGATAATGTTCATGACTGCTGAGGAAATGAAGGCCCAACAAGAGGAAGGCAGTTACCCTGTGACTAGTAAGCAGCTAGACAGAATCAGGAGCCCAGCCCATACAGCCCATACCCCGCCCCCTCCCCCAGTGCTCTTTCAGCTTCACCACAGGGACTTCATCATCCATTCAAAGCATGGGAAAATTCATTCTAAAATCAAACACACACACACACACACACACACACACACACACACACACACAGAGTTGGAGTTGTGCTGTTTCAACTCCACAAACAGTGACATGGTATCACCATGATGCCCTTTCTCTCTACCAAGTGAGAGAAAGGGCATCATGCATCACCCCACAGTATTGGTGAGCTTCAGCTACTAAACCATGGGAAAGTTTCCTGATTCTCAGTGCTTCTGGCTCACAAAAGGACATGAATTTTTGTAGCTGACCCTGATAGCAATAAAAACACCCCTTCCTCAAGGTTCCAGAAATTAGGAAGATAGAGTATAACTTGGGAAGGCAAAATGATGACTGACTAGTGATTCAGATGTGGAAACAAATATCATGAGTGTGTAATGGGCTTTGGTCAACACCATACTGATAACTATTTCTTCATTTATAGCTGAAGTTTAAAACAAGTTTCTAGATGAACTAAAAATTTTTTGTATGTAAGGAAGATATGAGTATTACCACTACAATCATCCACTAATCCTAGAATGACAGGACAGTCATAACTGTAGGTGATACCTGGATTTATGCAGACAACTGGGCACCTAAACCAGAGACTGCTTTTCCAGCTGTAGATTGCACTAATAAAAATAGCAACATTTCAGAGTGGCCAGGGGTGTCTGTCCTGTGATGTGACACTGTCATCTACAAATATGAAGGACCTCATTCATAGCTTTCTTGAGACATGTGTAGCCCAGAAGCCACAGATTGAGTTGCATGCAGTGTATACGGTATCAGTCTTGGGTTCCTTGATTCACCCTTCTTGTGTATGATGCTTGGCACACAGAAGTAAAGGCCAAAGACTAGAATTTGAGATCTATTGCATCAATTTTGTGTCTGTCACACACAGAGTTCTATCGACTATTTTAAAAGATGCCTTTTCAACATAGACTAACCCCCAGAGAATAGCACTTGCTTCTTAATTGTGCCTGTTTCCATTCCCATAGCAACTTGAACTCTTCTCTGTGCATTTTAGGTGCTAGTTTCATATGTTAAGAGAACATGTCTTGAAGCTTTTGTGTGTAAGGGTCCTCTCTCAAAAGATGTAAGTGTATGAGACCAGTATTGTCAAGATGAGCTTCCAGCTAGGCACCTCTGTATTCTTAAACAAGAAAGAAAACACTTTACAGCCACATATGGTTGCTATCTTCTAGATGCATGTACCAAACAGCTGTTTGTAGAAGCAGTACAATAATAACAAAACTGGATTGGTCTAAGATCTGGGAAAGTTCCTGAAAGAAGACAAGACTTTGTTTGCTTTGCTCACTGCTGAATCTCTAACAGCTAAAGCTGTGCCAGCTCCACCAGTAAGGAGCGGCTCTTTGTTTGATTGAGCGAAATGTTTAAATGGCAAAGGGAGACCCAAAGTGCCTTCAATATAAAACCACAGAATACAGTGCTCTGGCTACTCAGAATAGGCCTATGATAGAATTCAAATTACATCCTGTTGGGAGGAATCAATAGGGCTATTAGGTTATTTTAGAATAAGGAATTGTGTGTTTTTTTAAATTTAGTACATGATTTTCAGCCCACAGTCATTTTCTGTTGTGGATATAAAAGTTTACAGCTTTGGCATCACTGGGTTTAGCACATGCTCATCTGGTGACCCTAAGCCACTCTTAAGAGGCAGGTAGCAGATGCTTTTATACAATGCCATTTTTCCACAGGCCAGAGTGCAGTGCTCTGGGCGCTCTGACTCGGTGCAGCAGGATCAGGTCTTTGGTTCTCAGCTTCCTATCCTTGCCACCACCTTATGTTGCCTGGATCCCTGGAACATCGTTTTCTTCTTCCATACAGGGAGTATATACCTGGTGCCTTCTGGGTTCTAGTGTCATCCTGTCATCGTATCCAGGCTGGGGTGTGTGGCTCTTGCTGTGAAAAGCAGAAACCTAGCCCAGAGGGGCAGCATGTGGACAGATGTGATGTCTACAGTCAGCCTCCCTCCCCCTCATTCATTATTACACATTACAAGAGTGAGGTCTTAAATGCAAGCAGACTGTAACCTACCACATCCATTCTGGACATGGTCTTCCCTGAAGTGACCAGCCTCATCTGTCCTCTGTAGTTGTGGCCTCCTGTGAGGGCTGCTTTCTGATCCTCAAGCCTTCCCCGGGCACACTACTGTCACCTCTAGATGATGGCATATGAGGTCCCCATCTTCTCCAGCGTATTTCAGGACTTACTATAGTGTGACTTCCAAATGCATGAGGTAAGGTCCACCTGTCCTTTCCATATCTCACCACTCTTCTGCTTTGTTATAATTCCTTGCTGAATTTTAGGGCAGGCATAAAAGGCTGACTGATTTAGATTTTCAAATTCTAGCACAATGCCTGGTAGAAGGTATCATCGAACAGCTTCGAACAGCTGCCCGTTCAGTCTTCTCAAAAACCAAACCAAAACAAAACAAACAAACAAAAAAACAGAACAACCAACAATATCAGAGTTCCTGACCTATAAAAGGGTGTTAAAGGGGCTGTTTTGGGGGGAAACAGTAATGCTGGTATGTTCTGTTCTCTGTTCTTTCTTCCCTTCTCTTCAGGTTAGTGAAGGGACTGCCACTCGCTAGAGATACAGAACCACAGTCACTCTCCTGCCAGGGTTCAGCATGTGGCTTCTGGTGACTGTCCACTATAGTCCTTGTCTCTGGATGACTTTGTAATCCATACAGGATGATATAGTGGAGGCTATCTGGCTGATCATGACTTGCTAGGTGACCAGCTGTCTGGTCCACAAGCAGGCTTTGTTTGGCCCCCAGAGTGCTTGCTTGCAGTTAGCTTAAATTTACTGTAAGGCTTTCATTAATAATTTTAAAAGTGATTTCACATCAAAATCCTAGGATTGTATTTCATCTCTGGAAATGTTAGGGCTTAGTTGCATCTGGCCCTTTGGGGTAGGATCTGCTATGCTATGCCATGTTTTTTCCTCTGTCCATGAGCTGCAGCTTGTGTCTTGGGTAGGAAGCTGACAACTTTGGGCAATTTGGGTTTTTTTAATAACAGAATTAAGAGGAAGTTGTATTATATTAGAGAATGAATGCTCAAGAGATCAATGACATTTCAAAAAACTGGTATGGAACATGTTCCTTATGGAAGTGGAGAGCATTAGTTACTGTGGGTCTAATGTACAGAACATGCCTGTTAAAATCTCTCTGCGAAATGAACTTGCCCCTTGGCCTTTAGTGTTTCTTTTCTGGCTCTAGCAGACCTTGAAATTTGTAACCTTTAGGCACTAATTCATCATCTTTGTTGTTTCCTATTTTAAGTCATAGCCTGTAAAACTTCTGCTTCCCAGAGGAGAAGCAATCATCATTACTATACTTTATAATCATTATTTTAATGGTTGGAAATAGTTTGGATTATTTTGAAATAGGCTGTGTATCAGGTTGATTGTGGAAGCAGATAACCAATACCCAGTGGGGTTTTTCTTAGATTATCTTCTGTGACTATCAGGAAGACTAAATGAAGTAACAGAATGCCCACTAGCTCAGGTCTGGTTGGCCCATGGCTACCATTTTCAAGTCTTGCATAAGTCCTAACAACTCAGAGACAAAGCTTCTGTGTCTTTGTAGGAAATCATGTGTGATTGACATTTTAAACTCTACTATTCTACCTGGCTCCTAGGAGGCCCTAAATAAATTGTAGTGAGCTCATATATACAGTCCAAACGTGTGGATTGCTACTAAAGTGTAGATGGTTGGTCTTTCTTGGTACTCAGAAAGCTAGGATCCCCATATCCTCTGCTGTTGACTTGGCTTTGGCTTGGGGATCTCTGTGTGTGGATGTGATTTCATAAGCAGTAGAAATAAATTCCCTGGCTCACAGTCTTGTGCCTATCTGCTCTAGTACACATTGTCCCCCGACTGCTTGACATCTGACCCTGTTCTTTGCCTTAATTTTTACAGTTATGTTGTTTGCTCGCATGGGTGCGTGCATACGTGTGTGTGTGTGTGTGTGTGTGTGCGCGCGCGTGCGCGCGCGCGCGCGCACACACACACACACACACACACTAGCAAGCACTCACGTGTCAGGGTGTGCCCGTGGAGTCTCTCCTCATTCCGCCATGCCCTCCTTTACCTACTGAAACTGCCTGCCTTGCTGACCTTGTTCATTCTTTTTTCAGAATGATGTTTATGGACTGGCAAAGAAGTGTAACTTGACAGAGCGCCAGGTTGAGAGATGGTTTAGGAGTCGGCGGAATCAAGACAGGCCTTGCAGGATGAAGAAATTCCGGGAATCTTGGTAAGAAGGATAGGCAGCTTGTGTGGTGCTGTCATAACCAAGGGTGTCATCATGGCAGAGAGCACACTGACATGGGGGGTGGGTGGCAACAAACAGAAACAAAAAGTGCAATCTTACAAGAGGAGCAACACCCACAGTTAGTACCAAGTGTACAGTGAATGGCTGCTGAGAAAGCCCTAGGTTTGGATTCAGGAAAGTTCTTTTTAACTGTGGAAAAAGATGTTATTCTCTCTTCTTTCTTTCTTTTTTCTTTCTTTCTTTCTTTCTTTCTTCCTTTTTTTCTTCCTTCCTTTCTTTTTTTTTTATAGCTTTGGAGCCTGCCCTGGAACTCACTCAGGCTAGGCTTGAAATCACAGTGATCTGCCTGCCTCTGCCTCCTGAGTGCTGGGATTAAAGGTGTACACCACAACTACCTGCGAAGATGTTATTCTTAACTGTCTTTCTTCCCTCTCCTCTTCTAAGAGGACCAGATACCCACACTCTGAGGTGGACCCAATGCCTATGCAGATATCACTTAGCCTGAAGCCTAGAAAGTCCACAAACATGTCTTAACTGGTGTTCTCCTTTCTAGGGCTGAGTTAGAAATGGTCAAGACTCACGTGTCTGCTGTCCTTAAGGTTGTAGGGACAGGGGGTGTGAGAATGCACCCTAGTGCACTTCCCTCGGAATATCATGCATATATACAAAGAGTTTGATCATACCCACCCTCAACTCTTCCTCCCACCCTTTCCCATGGCCCTCCCAACACATCTGCCTATCACTTCATGCATTATTGCAATGAGCCTCTAAGTGCAATGAGCACTGCCTACATATGTGTGGGTGCATCAGAGCTTGGGTAACCTTCCAGAGGCCATACCTCTGAAGATAAATGACTTTTTTCCAGAAGCCATCATCAGCAAATTGTTCTTCTGCTAGAGGTGGGGCTCACAAGCCTCTCCTCCATCCACACAGAAATGTTGACCAGCTTGATTGTGCACACACTGCTGCTATGAGTTAATCAATGCAGTGGCCATGTCCTAGAAAAAGACAGTATTTCCCAGCACTCCTCACTGTCCTCTGACTCTTACCTTCTTTGAGCCCACTCTCCAGCAATGTTCACTGAGCCTTATGGCAGGAGTTGATACTGATGTCCCAGTTAGGGCTGAGAACACCCAGTAATAATTTACTGGTTGTTATTAACTGCTGACCACCACAAAAAGAAGTTTTCTCGCCAGTCTTGAGAACAGCACTGAACATAAATATTTGGAAGGCATTTCATAACATGTCTATTCAGCAAAGCAACAGTAGTAGATTTCTCCCTAGGGCGTATGCCTCTCCTCCAGCAGTAGACTTTTGATTAGATTTATAGGACCAGGAGTGAATTCCCTCCAATAAATCGAAGGGCAACCAATAGCTTTCTGGACTTGAGGCCTGATTCATGGGAAGAAATTCATTTTCTTTTCTATCTTTCTTTTTTTCTTCATTAATTACTACTCATATTTACATATCCATACCCCTATTCCCTTGCCCTCCCATCCTCCCATGTTCCCCACCAACCCCCGAAGCCTCCCAACCCCCCCCACTCCTCCCCAGGGATAGTGGGGCCACCCACCAGGGACCTTCAAAGTCTGTCAAATCGTTTGGGGAAGGGCCTAGGCCCTCCTTGCTGTATCTGGGCTACAATAGTTTCCCTCCATAGGGAATGGGCTCCAAAAGTCCATTGTGCTCTAGGGATAAAGACTGGCTCCACCATTAGAGGTCCCATAGACTGTCTTGGCCTCCTAGTTGGCACCCATATTCAGAGGGCTTGGTTTGGGCCAATACTGTTTCCCCAGCTTTATGACAAGGATCTCCACTGCTATCAGTAGGTCAGGTCCTATTTCTGCAGGTCTTTCCAGCCCCATCTTGGCTCCTTTATTTGTTTTGAGAACTGTGTATTCAGCTTGTTAACTCATTTCTTGATTGTATGGCTTGATTTATTTATTTATTTATTTATTTATATTTATTTATTTATTTATTTATCCAGACAGGGTTTTTCTATGTAGCTTTGTAGATCAGACTGGCCTCGAGCTCTGCCTCCCCAGTGTTGGGATTAAAGGTGTGCGCCACCACCACCTGGCTTGTTTTGTTTATTTTTATAGTTCTTTATATCGTCTGTATAGTCACCCTGTCTGGTTCGTAGTTTGCATTTCCTAAGCTGTCTCTCACCTATGTTAATTGTTCCTTTGCTGTGCAGAAACTCTTTAATTTAACATTGTACCATTTATTGATTCTTGTTTTTATTAATGGCCTTGAGCTACTAGAGTCCACTCAAGAAAGTCCTTGCAATATTTATATATTGAAGGTTCTTTTTTAACATATATTTGCCTCTCAAAGTCTTAAAGTTTTGTGTCTCACATTAATATCTTTGATAATTTTGAGTTTATTTTTATGTAGGGTGAGAAATATAAACCACATCCTGTTTCTTCAGTACCATTTATTCTGGGGCTGTCTTTTTTCCAATGTGTATTTCTGACATCATTGCCAAAAAGGAATTGGCTTTATCTGTGACACTCTCCTATTCTACTTATCTATATGTCTGTTCTTGAGTGACTACCATAGTGCTTCTACAGTTGTGGTTCTGGAGTATGATGTGAGATCAGGTATTACAATGTGACCAGCATTGCTCTTTCCACTATGTGGGTTTTTGTGCTTCCATATGGATCTCAGTATAAAATGGCAGCTAGGGTATGAGCTTGTATTTATACTCTAGGATAGATGTTCTTCAAAGCTTGTTGTATCAAATCCCCTTTCCCCTCACATGTCAATCACTGTTACAGAAGAGTGAAGCCTTTTCTTTCTTTTGTCAGCTGGCGTTTTACATTTTACTTCATGATAACTGTGGCTGGAGTTGCATTTCTTTATGATGTAAGTTGTCCTTTTCATATCTTTGGAATTTGTCTTTAATTTAAAATATTTTTGCCTATAAATTCTATTAATACAAAGCTCTCACTTCAAAAGGATTAGAAAGAGTTCATTCTGGAGCCAAGTAAAAGTGACCATGACCCAGGAACACATATAGAAGCTACCACAAATTCCATGTTCTAATGTGGTGATGGTTTCCTGAGGTTTTATAGTATCAGAATAAAGCAAATCATAATGAAAATACTTTTCAAATATGTTGGTGGAAACACAAGATGAGCAGGTTAGAGCAAGGCAGGGATCCACAGCTGTATGCCTAAGTGCCATAAGGCAACCCTTTGAACCTTTGGTTGGTAGAAGCTAGGGGTCTCTCTGTATATTCCAAAAGATTTGCCTAATAGCCATGAAGATGGTAGGTCATATATAGAGGTGGATAATAAGTGACCATTAATGGGGCTAACTATGCCCCAAGGTAAATCAAAATTAGGCTCTGACCCACAACATTTCAACTTTCCCATTGAAGTTCTAGTCAGTTAGTCAGCCACACAGATGGCTCAAAGTAAATTGTCTTTCCCTGAGGAACTTCATTCACAGTTCTTTTAGAACATAATACTCCAGAGTTAACCAGCTTGAGAAGTGTTGCTATAGAATCAAGATATTTCTCTGGCTATGGGTGTAGCTCAGTGGCAGAACCTTTGTCTGGGATGAACAGGGCCCAAAATAAACCTCCTGGTGGTTTGGGGTTTTTTGTTTTGTTTTGCTTTGCTTTGCTTTGTTTTTGTTTTTTGAGACAAGATTTCTTTGTGTAACTTTGGAGCCAGTCCTGAAACTCACTCTGTAAACTAAGCTGACCTCAAACTCACAGAGATCTGCCTGCCTCTGCCTCCTGAGTGCTGGGATTAAAGGCATGTGCCACCACTGCCCAGTTTGCCTCTTGGCGCTTTATTGCTGTAATTATCTCAAGGTCTTTTTGCCTTTTCATTTATTTATTTATGTGTTTGCTTATTTTTGTCTCTTTATTTTTTTGAGACAGGTTCTCAATATGTATCTGAGGCTGGACTAGAACTCACTATAAAGCCCATGCCAGCCTCAAATTTGTAATCTTCCCCATCTCAGCATCCAAGTGCTGAGATTATAGACATTTGCTACTAACCCAACTAAAGGGTTATAATAACAGATATAATAACAGATCCAGGAATTATTTTCTGATTATATTTATTTGTTCAAAATAGTTCCTTCAATAAGACAGTCCTATTATTGACCCCAGATTCACTGTAAGTAGTGAATTCACAACGTTGTGTAGGATGTGAATCAGTGCCCACAGAGGGAGAAATGCATGCTGCAGAACAAACAGGATCTTCACAAGAGCGCAAGTACAATAGTGAACACCACAAGTGAGTCTGTGCAACAGAAAACACACAAGTGGGTCTGTGCAACATCAAACACACAAGTGAGTTTGAGCAACAGGAAACACACAAGTGGGTCTGTGTGACATCAAACACACAAGTGAGTTTGAGCAACAGGAAACACACAAGTGGGTCTGTGTGACATCAAACACACAAGTGAGTTTGAGCAACAGGAAACACACAAGTGGGTCTGTGTGACATCAAACACACAAGTGAGTTTGAGCAACAGGAAACACACAAGTGGGTCTGTGTGACATCAAACACACAAGTGAGTTTGAGCAACAGGAAACACACAAGTGGGTCTGTGTGACAGGAAACACACAAATAGGTTTGTGTGATAGGAAACACACAAGTAGGTTTGTGTGACAGGAAACGCCACCACAAAGAGCTGTGCTTCCTGCTGAAACCAGGTTTTGACTGACAGTTGTGTCCTCTGTCTTGGCTCCTATTTTTTCAGAAACCATGGGCATATGACCTCTGGGAGGTTTGGCATGACTATCCCAAGCAGGTATGTCTTCCCTACCATAGCCTCTCCCAAACTTCAGCACTGGTTTAAGACACCACCCCAGATCTCCATGTCAGTTTTTAGTTTCTTTGTTTATTGTCTTTATTTCTTTGTTTATCGTCTATGTGTTGGCCTTAAACTCAGCACATGCTTAGGTTGTCCTTGAACTTGTAATTCTCTGCCACCATTTCCAAAGTAACATGCTAAAATTAGTCTTTTTAGCATGCTGGCCTCAGCATAACCAACCAACCAACCAAACAAACAAACAAACAAAAATCAGAAAGTGGGCTGAAATGATGGCTCAGTGGTTCAGAGCACTGGCTGCTCTTCCAAGACAAGGGTTTGAGTCTTAACACCCATTTGGTAGCATACAAGTGTCTACATCTCTAGTTCCAGGGGATCCAGTCTCCTCTTCTGACCTCTGCACTAACCAGACACACATGTGGTCCATACATACATGCAGGCAAAGCATCCATACACATAAAGTAAATAATAAAAATGACATGAAATGAAACATCAGGAAAAGGGAACAAGAAAGCATTAAAAAGGAAAGTCCTGTTCATCACACAGGCCATAGTCTAGTCCTATTAATGCTAGCCCATTTCCTCTTCTCAAGAGCATCCCTTATCCCCTGGTACATAACAACTATCCTCAAGCCAAGTGTCATAACTTGCCAGCTATTGGTTACTCCAGATTTGGGTTGGCACTCGGGCCTAGGCTAAGGGAAGCAGATCTGTTACATGTGGTGTCAACTGAGATCATTCATACATTCCAATTCAGTTGGTGGCCTTACTCCTAATTTTGTCAGCTAGCATCTTTTTGTGGCCTCTTTGGTATAACAGCTTTCTTAAACAGTGCTAATGAAGTCTATGCTTGTATTACACTGACTACTGTCTTCTTGGCCAAGTACCTGGATTAAATCTATAGTCATTGTGGAAGGAGACCATGTAAGGCCATAGATATTAAAAGGTCACATCCATGCATTAGACGTGCATTAGATAACATGTCTCAAGTCTCAATTTGCCTCAATGTCTCAAGTGATTCCCTATTATAACAGTACTAAGAAAAATGGTAGCAGTAGAAGTTAAATTACTTTTAATTATTCAGAAGACAATTTTAGAGTTCTTAAACAATTGCATATCTAACATAACTCACATTACGCTAAAATTAGGCAGTCATATCTATAGCATTTTTAAAAACTTTTTAGTTAAAACATTTCATTTGGTCTAGTCTTACAAGAATTAAACACCTCGACATTTTATCTGTGATTCCTTTGGGGCATTTCAGTCAATGCAGCTTCCCTGCAATTTTGTGGACTACAAATGGGCTTCAGAAAATATAAACTCATAGCTTGTGAGGTTACATTTGGATGACTGTTTCCCTTTTCCTCAGCCTCTGCTGCCGTCCCAGTACTGGTACTACATTTTGGAGATGAGTTTTTATTGGTCACTGCTATTTAGCCTGGGTTCTGATATCAAGAGAAAGGTAAGTGTTGCTGTGTTTTCAAAACTGCTTTTATCCATTTCCTCAAACTTCTTCATTCCTTTGCCCCTAATTCTACCTTTAAATTGTATTATGTGGATAATTAGCTCTAGTCATTGGCTATTTTTGCTTTTGATAGTGCATAGACTAATTCAAATTATGCTCATGTCTGATGTCCTGATAAATGCCTATAGAGTACCACTTCTTCAAATAAAGAATTTTGGTACAACCCCCAAAATGTGTTCCTGATCAATAAGAAAATAATTCTCTGTTTCCTTTGGCTTTGGAGGGCAGTGTCCCCTAATGCACAGGAAAACCTTGTTAGTGTAATGACTTTAACCATACGCTGCATCTTTTACTTGATGACAAACTACTTTATACAATCCTTTCTAATGTTTTCAAAGACTTTGGAATGACTACCTACCTCTTAATTCCTTAGTTATCCCTATGAAAAATCTTGTTTTAAGTACACATAGGTTTGCTTTATTTTCAGGGAAACTGAGTCACTGGTATTCTTAATGTCACAAAGGGATACATTTCAGGGCTGTCTAGTTTACTGCATCACTGGGTCAGCTGTTATGTTAGACCCTCAGGGAAGCCACAAGATGTCCTCAGCAAAGTGAATCAAAAAAACTATTGGTGCCTCAGGTCTTCATACACAAACCCAGTGCAGAATGGTAGCATGAAGACATGTTTGTTTAATAAACAAAGTTAAAATCAGTTAAATATTAGGTTAAATGGAGCTGCCTTATTAAATGCTCTTTGAGTTTAAGGGTGACACAGCCGTCACTAGTGGGTACACTGAAGCGCACAGATATCTTCAAAGGAAACTCATAGCATCTAAGAATACAGTAGAAAGAATATCAGAAGTTGCAGTTAGATGACAAGTGTTCAGTGCTGTTTCAAAGTTAAATTACTGCATCAATAAGGGTAATATTCGCCCTGGCGCCCCCATAAGGACTGTTTTAAGAAGGAGAAAAATACATGCATGCATGCATGCATACATACATACATACATACATACATACACACATACATACATAATACATTCTAAATGTCAAAACATGCAGATGTAAGTTACTGGGTACCATTATTATTCTCTCTTCCAGTCACTGGGAAATAACTGCTTTTGCTTAATGGCTTCCATTTTCTCTCATTATGTAGGATTTCCTTGCTAATGTCATCCACCACCTGGCTGCCATTAGTCTGATGAGCTTCTCCTGGTGTGCTAATTATATCCGCAGTGGGACCCTCGTGATGCTTGTGCACGATGTGTCTGACATTTGGCTGGAGGTAAACGTTTGCCATTTAAAAAATAATAGTGCCATGTCCTGCTTTTCACTAAGTGCTCACAGAAAGAATTATCTGTGAGTGATTTGGCAGAGCCCTCTGTCCTGAAAACAGCTGAAATCTAAAAAGGTACAGGCTCCCAGACCCTTTGACATGAAGCCTCTTAGTGTCTATTTGCAGTCTCTGCACTGTGTGAGGCCAAGGCTGGTCTGTGGGATTGTGTCCATGGCAGCCACATGCCGCTACCCATTCAGGAAGTGATATGAGATACTCAAATGAGAAACCAAGTCAAATTTTTTAGAGGCAAAGCTTGGACATCTTTGCTTTCTGGATCCCGAAGTTGGACAGCTCCCTCTGCTACTTTAGTCAGTGGCTGGCTGCCTGTCAAATACCTCCAATTCCTCTTGCTTTAGGGAATGCCAACTGATGTTTGTAAAACAGCATTCGTCTTCTAAGGGAGAAAGAAGGCTTAGAGTGTGTCTGGAAGCAGGGAACATTAAGACAAAAGCCTTCCTATTTCTACGTCACACAAAACATGAGGAACAAAGGCATAGCAGGGCTACTTCTGCATCTCTCTGTTAGCATCAGTCCCTGTTAGTGTGGGGATGTGATTGAATGGTCCCATTTCTGTCAGGTCTCCCACTATAATTACAACAGCATTTCCCAGGACCAGTTGCTGACTCTCTCTAGTGTACTCATTTATGATGAACCCAAGTAAAACAATGCCAAACTACTTTACACTTGGGTTTGCTCCTTGGAGTGCTTAATAATTGGATATAAGTTGATATGGAAGAAATTAAATTTAATAGAATTTCCTTCTTCCAGATTGGAGTTCAGCCAGCTTTTGATAAATGGCCAGAGAGTAAATCTAGTTTTGTGGGCTTCATGTGATTTATATCATATATTCTTTCTTTTTTTTCTATGTTTTTATACACTTTTAAAAATATAAAAACCATCCTTTGGCCTGACCAGCTTTAGCCCATAGACTGGGAGGTAGTTTTCCCAACCCTATTTAAGAAGTAACCAGAAGTCGTTTGAAGTCATGTCAAGGCAACTGGCCTCTGTGTCATATTTTAAAACTCTTCTCAGCACAGAGTGGTGGGTAAGGTTATTCTGTGCCTCAGTGCAGCTCAGCAGAGCAGGGCTGGGCCAGGGTTATATCACACTGCTTTCTGAACAGCCACCTCTGCTCTAAGCACCCCTTTCTCTGATCTAATCTCCATGGCCTTGGCTGAAAAGGATGGCTACATTAGGCCTGAGTTAAGAATTACATTCCCTTGTCTTGCTTCTGAACACTCATTTGCATAGCTTTGATGTGTGTCCAGCACTAAAACACCTCCATTGTGTTTTTAAGGGAAAGCTAGATGTTGAAGCTGGGTCTGGAAGCTTAGTTTTCCCAGCCTTCCCTCTACCTTCTCATAGACATAGCATAATTCCCTAAGAGATGTGGGCAAATTACTTATTGTTTTGTTTCCTAGCCCCAGCTGTAACATGAGAAGTCCTATCAATCCCTTATGGTATATTATAATATTTAGCTCATTACTGTTTGAAAATTTTCCAAGTCCTTAGGTAAAAAAAATGTCATGTCAGACTTAGAGATCCTTTCATGGTTAACATACAAGCTCAGCCTCATGTGGTTACTAGTCATGAATCATTCTTGATCCACAAGTCATGAGCTAACTCAAGGCTTGGACACAAGGCTAGTGCTGTCCATCAGCAGCTGGGGGTTGAGACAACGCTGCATGGTGGTGGCAGGGGCCTCTTTTTGGTGTTCACCCAAGGATGTATGACCTATGGTTTCTTTGAATAGTTGTCACATGTTTGCTTTCTCAATCAAGCTCTAATTGAACCCAGACCTGGCACCACATTTGCTCCTGTAGACTTTCCCTGAGTTAGAGCCTGCTAATCTTTAGAAGCCGCCAAGATAGGCGGTGTGCCTGTTAGCTCTGTGTTTGCAACAACAAAAACTTCAACACCTACAATACTTTCTTATACCTGCCCTATTTATTGCCTTCTCTTGGCATATTTCTGACCCTCTGTTACTCTTTATATCCAAATTCAGACCCAGAATCCAACATTTTTTATGTATACTACATACATAAAAATACATAAAATGTATATTATTTAGGGCTACCATTTGGTATTTCATCATTACACAGTCCAGAAGGAATTGAAGTTATTTCTGCCCAACAGTACCATTTTGCTCTCCAGAGTGGGCTCACAGAGATTCTGACACCTGTGCACATATCCAATTTCCCACCTTGGCCTGGCTTCTGGCCTTGAAGAGCTATGTCCACCATTCTAGTCATTCTAAGACTCTGGCCTTTGCCTCTTACCCAGCCCCCACTCTTTAGGTACATTGGCTCTTTATGTTAAATACCAAAGCTATCCCTATTGTCCCTCTGTAACCCCACAAGATGTTAATGTCATCATCTTTGGGAAGTTTTGGAAAGCATGGAAAACTCCATTCAGGTGCTCCTGGAGGGCATACATGTTTCTTTTCTTGTTGAAGGAGGTCTTAAGCCTCCAGGATGTAATTTCTGAACCTTTCAAGTCTAAGCCATGCTCCCTTATATTAGTGATGTCTCTGTTGACATGATAAAAGTACCATGACCAAGAGCATTAAGGACCAAGATCATTTTGTTGTATAGTTCTAAATGGTTAAATATCCACAAGGTGGAGAAGATATGGCAGCAGGTACAAGAACTTGAGAGATTACATCTCAAGTACACACAGAAAACAGAAAGAGAAGTAGAGCACAAAAAGTGGACCAAGGGTATAAAGCCTCAAAGGGTTATCATTATGGCTAATCTAATTTAATCTATGTCACCATCCACAACCCAAGACCTTCCTCAGGTTGCTTCCAAACAAGTCCTCATCCAATTCTTTTTAAAATCCGTGCCATGAACTAACTGACAGCAGTTTCTCTCTTCATTTTCAGTCTGCTAAGATGTTTTCTTATGCTGGATGGAAGCAGACCTGCAATGCTCTGTTTCTTATCTTCTCCATTGTGTTCTTCATCAGCCGATTCATTATTTTTCCATTCTGGTGAGTAGACAAGGTGCCATTTCCTGCCTTAGGATGTTGCAACACCGTCCCCTCATCCCTGTTCTTTCCAGGTATTTCTGCCAAATTCAGCTGGATAGACAATGTGATGGAGCCATTTTTATAGCTTTACTAAAAAAAAATGTTGCAGCTTATGTCTTTATAAATAACTAAAGCAATTATCTAAAACATAGAACTATCACAGTGGGAGCTTCAGTGGGTGGGCAGTAGCTATCACTCTCCATTCTGCCTCAGGAGTGTGGGTTTTTCTTTGTGATCAGCAGCTTACTATGAAATTTGGTGTGGGGGTAAAGACATTGATTGCTTAGCACAACTCTGAACTCAATGAACTATAATACCAAACTTCTAGGTAAGATGGACCCAGTGGTGTAATGGTAATGTGACTATTATATGGATAACCAACCTCTCTATAACTGGATTTTGGGCTTGCTCTGGAAGAGGGAATCCATACCTAATAATGGTACCTTGTTCCAAAGCCCCTGACTAAAGAAGTCTTAGACCCTAGGTGTGTGTGTGTGGGGGGCACGTTATCGAGAATTTAACATGACTGCTTAGCTGAACTGACATAACATCAAACCATCTCCTAAGTATTGACATATGTTTACACCCAGAAACAAAGGCTTCTCTTAGCCTTAAGCTGAGAATCTGTTCCTTGCAGTGTACAGAAAGAAAGGCAAAGGCCTATAACTCTACAAGACAATAAAGAATAGTTGAGGGCTCAGCTCTAGGCATGACATTTACACTGACCCCTTAGGGCTCAAAGACCACTGTGGAAGAGGGGGTGGAAAGAATGTAAGAGCTGGATGGTGGAGAGAGGGGCTGCAAATACCATCATCACAGTAGCTGTGCATACTGGCATTGAGTTCCCAGAAGTCATGTCCTCCTAATAGTCAGCTAAGGAGGGGGAAAGGATCCATGGGTCCCAACCACATACTGCAGATTTATTGGCAACGGACAGATTCTGTGTGAAGGGAGGTATGGTATCAACTGTGTACCCACCAGGTTCATTTCAGGTAATTGATTCTAAACTCAGGTCCATACAGATAGCCCTGAATAAATTCTGTGAGACACCAAGCTAAACCAAACCAATAAAGAGGCAAAAGAGGTTGATATGAAGGATCAGGGTAGAGGTGGAAAAGTGAGGAAGGGGAGGGATGGAGGGGCTCACTAAATACCAAAGTGAATAGCGTGTTCTGTGCTGACCACCACAGTGGTACCTCTAATCAGGGTTTCTCCCTACAGTACCTACATATATATGAAGCTGAAAATATACACCCAATAAAAGAGCATTTTCAACAAACAGTGATGAAAAATCTGTATGTCAACATGTAGAAGAATGAAACTAGATCCCTATATCTCACCCTGCACAAAACTCAATTCCAAATGGACCAGACCTCAAAATAAAACCTGATACCTTGAAACTGCTAAAGAAAAATAGTAGGGGGAGGAACACATAAATTTAGTTAATGATTTTCTGATTAGGACTCTAGTAACATAGGAAATAAGACCAACAAGCAACAAATAGGATCTCACAAGACTAAAAGGCTTCTGTTCAGCAAAATAAATGTTAATCAAGCAAAGAAACAGCCTACAGAATAGGAAAAACATTTGCAATTGATAGAGGATTCCTAACTAGAATATAAAAACAACTAAAACAGTGTTTAGTAAACTCAAAGAAAACAAACAACCCGATTAAAAACTGGGCTATGTAACTACAAATGGATTTCAAAAGAACTACAAATGGCTTGGAAATGCTTGAAAGTGCTCAATACCCTTAACCACTAAGTAAATTCAGATTTCATTTTACTCCATTAACATGGCCATCATCAGGAATACAAATGACAACCAGTGCCAGATGTGGGGGAAGGGATACCCTTGTGCACTATTGGTGGAAGTACAAACTAGTACAGCCACTGGTCTACTATATGGCTAAGCCTTACACTCTGGGCACATACCCTAAGAATTCTATCCTACTACAGAAACACTTGGTATGGCATTGTTCATTACAGCTCTGTTCACAATAGCTAGAAAGTGAAATCATCCCAGATGTCCATCGGCTGATGAATGGTTAATAAAAATGTAGGGCACATACATAATTGAATTTTATGTAGCTATTAAGAAAGTAGAAATTTTGAAAATTTCAGGGAAATGGATGAAACTGGGGAAAAAAAAATATACTGAGTGAAGTAACCCAGACCCAGAAAGACAAATGCCTCATATTTGCTAAATGTATTACTATCGCTTTTATTTGACTAAGCAGATGTGTTTGTGAAAATCAGTTGTTGGCTTCTCTATTATCTTTATGGTTCCCATATTCATGGCCTCCCAAAAGCAAACTAGAATAGGCTAGCTCTACCCCTGAGCCACATCCCAGCCCTCACGTATTATTATTGAGGGGATAAACACTGATTTGCAGATAACAGCAGGTGGAGCTTTTCAGAGACTTCCATGGTGCTGCAAAGTCTTTCATTTTCCCAGGTGCCTCCCCTTGTGTCCGACAGGGACATGCTGCACATGGCTGTGTGCACAGGAAACTATTTGGACACCGAGTGGTTTAAGTCAGTGCTAGGCAAACTTGTTCTGGTAAGGGCGAGAGAACAAGTATTTTAGACTTTGAGGGAACAACATGGCCTTTGTTGCATATTTTTCTTTGTTTTGTTTAAAACTGTATCAAGCTGTACTTAGACCACAAGCTGTAACTAAAATATGTGTCTTTGACTAGATTTTATGCATCGGCCAGTTTGCAGTGATCCCTTTAAGTCACTGGCTAATCGTTACCTCTCCTGATTCTCAGCAGTGACTGGCCTTAGCTAGGTCATTTCTCCCTAGAGTCTCTCATGTGGTTACAGATGGAGGCCAGGTAGTTAACAGTGACTACAGGTGGAACTTTCTGGGGGCCTTCTTCAGCCACAAGCTTGAGGAAATCCATGTAAGACCAGCTACTTGGTGATATTGTCATTGACTGGGTCCTGAGCTGGGCTCTTTTCTGAACACCAGATGGTTCTCTAACTTGCCCTTGGCCTCCTCATTTCAAGTGTGACATCCAAAGTCACATCATGTCACTTCCTGACATATAATGTACATTAGAACCACACTCCCCAAGGTTGGAACAATATTAGAAGAAAGGAAATTATACTGTTTCTCAGTAAGACTGCTTCTAAAGCCTGGGCAGACACCTTGACTCTATGGAAACCCTTGGTTCAGGGAATTCCAAGAAGCTTCTCTAGTGTGGTGCCGAATATTTACCATAGGGAATATTACCTCAGACCTTTTCATGATATCTAACAAGCAAGCAAACAGCTGAGTACATGGTGACTTTAGCAGTTCTAGATCTGAGAGCTCCTGCTCCTCCTGGCATTTATGAATTTCTGGATGAATCTTACTAGCATTTGACATTTTCTTGATCTCAGTACTGGATTCCCCTGCTGGTAGCAGAGGGCAGTGCCATCTTCAGGGCAACAACAAGCCAGCACTGACAGACTGGACTACAAGAGTCTTTGCTGACATTGACCCCCATTGTTCAGAAAGTTGAGACAGACTACAGCAAGCCACTGGAAGTTTGGAGAACAGATATTCACAGTGGTCTTTGAGGAAAAACTCAGTGATTTGTAGTGAAGAGCGATTTCACTCAGAAAAAAAAAAAAAAAAAAAAAAAAAAGATCTCTGGCTGCAGCACTTTGCTCTAGCTTAGTCCCCATTAAGTTGATTTTGCTGTGCTATCATCATGGTAGCACCAACAGGGAAATTTTCATTCTTTGTTGCCAGCCTTGTTCCTCCACCTTTCCCATCTCTGTGGATTCGTTCCTCCAGGAAGTCTTTTTTTTTTTTTTTTTTTTTTTTTTTTTGGTTTTTCGAGACAGGGTTTCTCTGTGTAGCTTTGGAGCCTATCCTGGCACTCGCTCTGGAGACCAGGCTGACCTCGAACTCACAGCGATCCGCCTGCCTCTGCCTCCTGAGTGCTGGGATTAAAGGCGTGTGCCACCAACGCCCGGCAACCTCCAGGAAGTCTTACCCAGTCAGAGCTTGTTGGGACTCTATCACAGATAAAGCAGTGTGCAGATAATACATGCTGCTGAAAGGTGGCTCAGCTAACCTGCTTCAAGACGGGGACAGTGTTGGAGGTGCTGTGGAGAGCATCTTTGTCCAGGTGCTTTGTCCTTCTGCAGCACATTCTGTGGTACAATGTGGTAGAAGAAAGCTTTTGGAGGTGTGCTACCTACGGTTCACCAGAAGCTTGAAAACGGGGAGTCCATGTGTTACCATCCATCTTTCCCTCTCTTGGATTTTTCCATCATCTCCCAAAACCAGGTTTGCTTTCCCCTGACTTGACTTCCCTTGTCTTTCTGCAACTGTATGCTCCTCTCCATCCCTCCTGCTATGTCTGAGGATCCAGTGTAGTTCATTCTCAGTATAGGAAGAGTACTTGGGAATCCCCATTTTTGAGATGTCAACCTGCTAGTAAAAAAGGTAAAGAGTGTGGCTCAAGTGAGCCTTCTCTTTGGAGTCTGACCAAAGAGGTGCTGAGGGAGGCTGAGGCATGGCAGTGCAGACAAGAGGCAGAACTGAAGCAATGGAAAAAAGCAGCCTGCTTCCAGCCAGGGCCAAATATCCTTTGTCCCCAAGGACATAAAAAAAGTCAGTCGCTGAGAGCACTTCTGTTCTCGAGCTCTGGAACCTTTCTATCTGGCCTTGGAGAAGAGAGCCCAGGAACTGTGCCAGTCAGCAAAGAGAAAGTCTGACAAGGAAGCCTGAAAGTGTGGCAGCGAGGGCAGGAGAGGCTGGCCAGATGCAGGAGGAACCGCTGTGTACTGGAAATGAAGAATGTCAATTTTTCTGAAAATCATTTTCAAACTTTTTTGAGGCTAATAATTAGATTCACCTCATTTAGGCCTTAATCAGACTTCTTGTTGGTTTCCAAAAACTGTTTCATTAGTCATAAATTCTAACTGGTATTGGCAGACTTGCTTTTATTTCATTGCCTG